ACTTTCCTTCTTCTTCTTCTCTCTCCTTTTTTTTACAACTTCTTTCTTTCATTTTTCATTTGGTTAATCACTGTTTTTAATGTTTCTTTTGGTTGATTTTTTCTAATTATCATTGTGTTCAAATAATGTTGCTCTTATATTTTATGATTGCTAGCAATTTTATATTAAAGGAATGTCAGCACCAACGACCTTAAAATCCTAAATCCACCACTGCATATATACACACACATAGAGAGAGAGGGAGAAAGAGGGGGGGGGGGGAGGGGGGGAGGGGGGTCGCAATACTAAAGCAATATCAATTCAATGAATTAGTTCAAAATAAATTACGTAAGCCAAGTGATTGCATTAGTTTGGTAGTCTTGCTGCTTGAGACATCTATCCTAATGTAAAGCATAAATCAAGTGGCTGCCACTTTAATGTTTGTTATGATCCTTGAAACCTATACTTAGAGTACCTTAGTTGTTACAATCTGCCATTCATTTACAACTGAATAAATTGCTTTAAATGCACCTAGAGTGCTCTGAAGAGAATTAAGGCCTCGATGGGAATGGGTGCTGCAAACTACACTAAAGCTAAAAGAACAAGGTTGGAAAAGTAAAATCTTAGATACAAACTTATAGTTATAAAGTTATCAAGTGATGAGTGAGGTCTTGTTTTGATGCGGGTAATGACACACCTCAGGAAGGGTATGTGACCACTGTGAGATGATTAAAATCCACTTTCTTGATTTGATATCCTGAAGAAAGTGCAATAGTTTCTGCAACTAAGAGATTCCAGGGGATGCGTTACACTTGTTATTGAGGTTTGTAGTTTGGACAGGGTCTTCAACATTCTTAATCGGGAGGGCCATTGAAACTCAAAACATGGTGTAATTCTTCTTTTTCTTTACACTAGACTGATTGTTTCATTGATATCGAGTGCAGGTGCGCTTGATAGGCTATTGTGTTGAAGGTTCCCTCTTCCTTGTATATGAATACGTTGAGAATGGCCACATAGGCCAACATCTACGTGGTACAGGTATCTTTGATGTGAATTAAATCACATTTCATAACTAACAATCTTTCAGTAATAGTTAGTTCCTTAAAGAACTTTTACTCAATCTGGTCAATTTATCTCCAGGAAGGGACCCATTGCCATGGTCTAAGAGGGTTCAAATTGCTCTAGATTCAGCTAGAGGTCTTGAGTACATACATGAACATACCGTACCAGTTTACATCCATCGTGATATTAAAACAGCAAATATTCTGATAGACAAAAACTTCCATGCAAAGGTTTGTCAACGGGCACCTCTTTTGTGTTTGTCTATTGTGGGCGGCTGTTTTGTAATCGTGTTAATTGTCTGATTTAGGTTGCAGATTTTGGTTTAACGAAACTGACTGAAGTTGGAAGCTCATCTTTGCAAACACGACTTGTGGGAACATTTGGATACATGCCTCCAGAGTAAGTGTTTTCCCATTTTGAATTGAAACCTTAAGAGTAGTAACAGAGATGTTCCTCACCCTATTTTTTTCTTTGAAGAAGAGAATCCATTATTATTATTCTGAGAGTTGTTCCATAATTATGTCGGTGTATCCGTTTTTTGTTAAATGATTGGTGATCAGTGCACGGTCAGTCAGGAAACGGGTAGTTCTAATTATAAACCAAGGTTTTCTCAATGCCTTGCTCAAAGCTTAAGTTGTTGCTTTCTGATTAAAGCATTTCTTTTGAGTGCCTCATGTGACAGATTTGCATATTGCTTTTCTACAGGTATGCTCAGTATGGTGATGTCTCTCCCAAAGTTGATGTTTATGCTTTTGGTGTTGTCCTATATGAACTAATTTCAGCCAAGGAAGCGATTGTCAAGCCAAATGGTTCTGTAACTGAATCAAAGGGTCTTGTTGCTTTGGTAAATTTCTTTACATATTTCTTCGAAAGGACTATATGTTTGCTCTTCATTCCTTTTACTAGTCTCCTCCTCCTTCACTTTGATAGGCAATTTATAGTTATATAACACTCTGATGCTAGTTTTTCGTAGTATTGATCCCTCTTTTGCCTTTGTTTATCATAGTTTGAAGAAGTACTTAATCAGCCAGAACCTGATGAAGATCTTCGCCAACTGATTGACCCAAGACTCGGAGACGACTATCCCCTTGATTCAGTCCGGAAGGTAATAAGATTTTAATGAAACTTGCATTGGTAGTAGCTAAAACAGTTGTTTCTTTCAGCTTCTTACAAAAAGTCCATTTCTTCACTAATCACAGATGGCACAGCTTGCCAAAGCTTGCACCCATGAAAATCCCCTAATAAGACCAAGTATGAGATCAATAGTTGTTGCGTTGATGACACTCTCTTCGTCAACAGAAGATTGGGATGTTGGATCTTTCTATGGAAATCAAGGTATGATAAACCTCATGTCTGGAAGATAGTAAACCAAAATTACGCTCCCACGCGCAATTAACATTTCATTCAGATTCATGCTGTTTAAGCATTGGATATGTGTACTACTTGTGCATTTTTACTTGTATAGTACTTGCTTGAATAGTGTAAGAAAAGATAGAAAGATGTATTTCATTTGTAACATCTAGCACATACTTTGTGAGTTAGAAATGGAACATTTCCTCATGAGGAAATACATGTTTTCTTTGTTGTCTGCTGTCTGCTGATGTGACGAGCAGTGTTTATTATCAGAAGCAGAGCCAAGATTTTTAGTTTATGAATTCTTGTCTACATATTGGTTTTGGATATATTATTTGTACTTAATAAATTAAAATTTTTATTTACAATTATATGGTTCGGAGTGACAATTACTATGTCTGAAATAAGACAGCAGCCGTACTTCTTCATATGTTCATTTCTTATGACAATTGAAGTCTAGTTTTCTTCATATTTGATGGCTTAGCAGTTTCATCTTTAAAGTTTGAACTGTAATTTTGATGTCTATAAAAATCACTGTATTTAATGTATATATCGTTTTTTTAAATACAATGATACAGCCCTAATTGTAATCCTCTACATAAGGAGCTTTTGCTACTGACTGTTTGCCCCTTAATTTAAACCCCTCAATTTGCAACTAGGATTACTGACCTATGCACGTCATATCCACTCATCCGTTTAACAATAAAACTCTCTAATTTTCTCCATCTTTCTAACGGTATAAAAATATGAAACTACACTTGCATTAATTACTACTAACATTAGCTACTCAACATTTTATAGACCTGTTAATAGTCAAATAAAAGTGGCAATGACACCAAATGCAATAGAAGTATCCAAGTATATATAAGTATCTCACTATATACAAATTCGAAAAGTATTCAAGTGTACAAATATTCTACTGTAAAAAAATATGAAACTAAACTTACATTTACTACTACTTACATTAACTACTCAACATTTTAAACAATTTTTAATAGTCAAATACAAATGACAATGACACATAATACAAATAGAAGTATTCAAATGTATAAGTATTCAACAGTATAAAAATTTGAAAGTATTATTATGAACCTCAATTTCTTCCTCCTGTTCAAATTATAAAACATTCATATGGATACAACAATTGCCTACAACCCTCTTTGGAGTAGTGATTTTCATCATTGGATTGGTGAAAAAAATCTTCAACTGAAACCCATAAAAAATAAGCTCCGAAAATCATGCAAAGATCGTTAATTGTAAGGAATTTAGGGGGAAGAGACAGTGATTGTACAGAGATTAGTGAGGAAGAAACGGTTGATTTGGGGGAAATATTGAAAGAGAAACTTTGAAGGTGGGAACTAGGGAATAGTGAAGTGTAAAAAATAGGTGAAAAAACTTGATTATGATAGATTTTGCTATTTAATAATGAAATATATCCATAATAAATAAATAAAGTATACTATAGCTATATTACTTTAATATTAATGTAATTTGCTATTTCTATAGTTTTCCAACTAAAATTGACCTATCCAAAACTGTATCCAATCCATATCAATTTCAATCCGGACCCCAATCTTAGGGTCCATTAAATATGCAATATAAGTACATGTGGAATAGAACTATATATAAAATGACATAATGAAACACGAACGTACATATAAATAAAGAAAAAGGATGCTCAACAGAATCATAGAAAGGAATAAGAGAATTAGGAGTCATTGACACATTTTTACATTTAGGTTCTTAGTTATGGGTTAGTTATTGTGAAAGTTCATTAGTATAATCAACATAAACCATCATGTGAGCACATGTAGTGTAATCTCAATCCAATCAATTAAGTCATTTCATACCTTGCCGGGTGTGAAACATGATTACATATCATGAAGATCCATATTAGCCCGTACTGGAGATATATAGAGGAGTCGTCTGAACCAATAACATGACTTAATTGATACATTTTATTCAATTTTCTCATGTTACAAACTAGTGTGAATCAAAATAATTATCTCATAAAGTAGTAGGAATTTTGCAAGTTACCCCTAAAAATAGATGGTCTAAAATAGTACTCCATCTGTTCACTTTTCCTGGTATACCATTTCAAATAAATTTTCTCTTTTACTAATCACTTTTAACATATCAAGAATTTTTTTTTTTCTATTTTACCATCAACATGAACTACATATTTTTCAAATCATTTCTCAAGTCCTAAGGGTAATACAACTATACATCAATCAATATGAACATTATGAAAAACTACTCATATTAATAGATGTTTCTTTAAAAAAAAAAACTTCTTTTTTTAAGCAGTGCGATTAATTTACAAAAATCAAAAGAGGGGGAAAAAAATAGAAACGAAATTCCCTACTTAATGTTAATTTCTAAAACATTCCCGCCAACGAGCTGAACCTGGAGATTCTTGTGACGAAATTACCCCTGTCTTATCCTTAAGACAGCCTATAAACTGAAAGATAAAACCGTAAATATCCTTTAAGAAATAACGGTCAGGGGTAATAGTTAGTAACGAACTCATCAGAGTAAACAGAGCTCACCTTCCTCATTTTTCATTCTCTCTACAAAAAAAAAAAAAAAATCGAAAAATTGAGGCCATGAATGGTGTGAAATCTTGCTTCGAAAGAAATTGGAATAGAGACTTGATGAATGATGTGAAATCTTACTTCGGAAGGAATTGGAACAGAGACGAAATGATGAATAATGTAAAATCTTATTTCAGAAGGAATTGGAACAGAGACGACGTGATGAGTAATGTGAAATCTTACTTCGTAAGGAATTGGAACAGAGATGATATGATGAATATGGATGAAATTCTGGTTGAAGTTCATACAAGCTTGAAGAAGGTACATACTACATGAATTTTCATTTTTCTTTGCTTCTACTTGATCATCAACGTAAGAAATAAAAATGTTGTAATTCATGAAATTTTTCTCAGATTTTTCTTTATTGTAATCTGGTTTAGTCATACGTAATAGTCGATCACAAGATGATCATGCTAAAATCCCCAATTCTTATATCGTAATTTCGATTCTCCCAAGATTTTTAGGTATTCCTGAATTTCGATATTCTCAGAAAAAATTGATGTTTGCCCTTTTTTTGCTGTTCTTTTGCACTTGCTTATACAGTTAGACGTTAGTGATAAAATCCCCAAGTTGTTTTTTAGTAGCGAGTTTGCCACTGAAGCCTTGCTCCATATTCAGTGTTGAAAGTTGCTTCTGAGTTGAATTTTACAGTCTTTGGCTTTATAAAGATCGAAAATTATGAAATTAAATTCTTGAAAGTATGAAGGTAGTATAGAAATTGAATACATTTTTGCTTCTGCCTCTAAGTATTGGATTTCCCCTTTTCCTGTGATTGATTGGTTTTTGCTTAATAGGTGTATCTTACTCCCTTCTGTGCCATGTTGAGCTCTACTTTTGGATCCTACGTACGATGGATTTCAGTAGCCGGGTGGAAATTCACAGTCCTTTCTTATGTAGCAAGTTTAATCTTGATTTACTATACTCCACCAGGGAGAGTGGTACGTGATCAATGACTCGTAAATTTTGTTGAATTATTCTTGAAGTTGCTTCTAATAATGTAAATCTTCTGTCTTATGCAGAAGATGAGGGTCTTGTTGGAAAATAGCATACACAGCGAAGCATTCCAGAATCATACATCTTGCATGAGTATAGGCAACAATCACAAATACATATCACATACAAGGTATGCTGAAAATTAACTCAAGATTACCTCTTGAAGCGTGTGCAGATATCTTGAAGCAAATCCAACTCCAGCTCTACAGTCTTCTACAGTGATCCCAAATAACAATTGAACTCTCTCAATACTTGGGTGGGCAAGTATCGTATAGAATACTGAATTGTCTTTCTAGGTTAGAAGAATCCCTACTTATAGAGATGTCTTCCTAGTCCAAAAAGGAGAAGAAAGTATAAATCCTTATTCTTCAAGAAAACCCCAAAACTCACGTTTCTTTCTTGGAAGAAAAATACACGTTACTTTTCCTTCTTCTACTAGAAAATAGGATTCTGAGTTCTAGTTAAATTGGGCACTGGAGGGACCACATAATTTATTACTGAGGCTTCCTATTATGGAAATAATTCCAAATAATTAATTTGAATTATTCTTACCATAATAAATTACAAATCATTCCACTAAAAATTCGTAATTGCACTCCTCTATATATATTTCGAAATTCACCATTAAACACTTATGTAATTCCCCATGTTAAGATTCCAGATACTAATCAATAAATTAAATTACTGACGAATTTAATTCAATGATTAATTTCCTTTAGAGCAACACTTAACTTATTTCATGTGCCAGATTCATAAATCTACCGGCCGGGTTTACACATGAAAACTTATAAGTTTCTCATAAAAAGGTGTATCATCAATCTCTATACTGAGACATGGATTCCATCAACTAACTAATTATTTCACCAATATATATTATTATCATCCAATCTACCAGGCATATTGACCCATCTCAGAATCTCACCTTTTAATAAATCAAAACGATAATTAATATATACAGATCATAATCGTTATATCAAGATTAAGAATATAAGTACATTTAACAGTTTAGAGAATATGTTTTTATCAGTCAGTCTAAAACATCTATCTCTGCTTAGTCCCGTTCAATACATACAAAATGCACTAGCATGAGAAGTTAGAACTATACCATTCTCATAATCAAGATAAATTACATTTAATCTCGTGCTACAATCTTTCTGATGGTTTTGTCCAAAATTTCCATCTACGATTGTGAACTATAACTTTTAACTTATAAGAACCGATGATTTAATCTTCTGTGTATAAGCTTAAACTCTATACACCAAATCATCTACTATATAAGTTAAGGACACATATATGACAATTGATCTATTTAATGTAACAATTTATTGAATTGAATAAATGAATAACAATTGTTCAATAATAATACTATATCAAAACGCATGGTTAATAGTATATCCTAACAGGTCTTACTCTTGATGTTGGCTGCCTGTTTATTCGGTGCTTCTGTTAATGCTTTTACAAATTATCTCTTCAAAATCGAGCAACGGTAAGACTCAAATGATGCTAAACAATGTTTAGATATCTGTTGTTGATCAAGTTTTCTGTGTTTTCTTTTTTACTGGTTTCTTGTCATATCATATTATCAAGAACCTGTTTTTTGTAGTTTCAATTGTGTACAAAGAGAGATTGTATATATACTTGTGATCCTTAATAATCACTAGATTTATCGGAAATCCTAATTTTTGCGCATGAATGTGCTGCTCTCTTTCTCAAGACAAGTGATGCTCTCCATCGCATTTTATACCATTCTTGTGCAGTTTGCTAAAAGTGGCAACTAGAATTTGTGCATTCTTGGCTAATTTATATGTTGTTACCACATTTGCTTGCTCTGTTACTACTTTGCTCCTTCTGTATGTGTAGTTGATTAGCCCTTCTATAGAATATTTTGATAAATCTTGACATTCCATGGTTGTTCTCCAGCTATGTTCTCCGACTTTTGGCAGGTACAACAACTGGTTGTGGAAGTTTCTTGTATAGAATCATCAGAACAAGGAAAAGGAGAAAAATCTACCTTGGTTGCATGAAATATTGTTTCGTCATAATGTTGTCCACCTTTGGATTTGTTGTCTTGGACAGCAGCCACACAATTCATTGGGCGATAAACGTAAGCAGTTGTATGCATACAATGTGATCACAGTCATTTTTTGAACTTGTTTATTCTAGTTTTGAACTCGCCTCTGTCTAATGAATGAATACTATAAGTGACTTGAATACTGGTTGTGATAGATGCACCTTGCGCAGACATTATTCATGGGGTACCTTGTGATATATAGCCAAGAGATATTGTATGATGCTAACTTAGGAGATATTAACTTCGTCAACTGCACATTCACCGTCTTCCTCCATTTACCGGGCATATTGATCCATGCTGCAAGACTATACCTACAGGATGCAGAAATTGAGCAACAGGAACAGAATTAAAGCTGATGCACCTTGGAACTATAGAGAGTAGAATGTGCACCTTACTGTAAATGATTAACAAATATTCTTTTGTGTCTACATTTTACTGATTGAATTTGGAATTCGTTTGTCTAAACCAAACTTCTTTGAATGTGGGGATCAAACTATGTAGTATTAATTTTTTTTCGTTTTTTTAACCCTTCTCTTCTCTGGGAGCTCCTGTCCTTTTCGCTCCCTTGGTGACTCGAATTCATAACCTTAGAGAGTTGGAAGGGAGGAATGCTCAAGAAATAGAAGAAATTCCAATTTTGTAAATTTGGTGTTAGTAGTTCAATGTGGGGATCAAAATATGATAAGATGATATTAGATGGTTCTTTGTACATCTGTTTGGAATCAAATTGAAGTCCACTCGTTTCCGGTAGGGCTGTGCAAAATCAAATCGATAATACATAAAATCAGATCGAACCTACCTATGCACACCCCTAATTTCTGAGTCAAGGTACAGCATGACTAAAAAGGTCATTCATTAAGGCACGAAAAAATTGTTATTATCTGTCTTTCAACCCGTTCTTTAACAAATCAGTTTCTATTTTACAATCAAGAAACTACATAAATTCTGAAATAGAAATGTAGAAGAAGCAGAAAAAGATTTCGTGCCCACAAGTTATTTGTGTGTCCTTACGAAATTATAAACGCCTCACTATTGCAAAGAAATTAGGTTACTTCCTCCCAAGTTATTGTGGTTTATGTCATTTGTGGATGATTCTGATGTTGAGCAGCCTGATGATATCCGGATGAAAGGGAAGGATATCGTTCAGCCAAGACTGGAAACATTCAAAGAGCAGCTGAGTCCTTTAAGGATTTGGGTAAGCAAGTAGAGCATAAATGTACAACTATTGTTCAATATTTGCTTCTGTCGCTATCTAACGAATGTTAACCTTTATTCTCAGGCTGAAGAGAAGTCGATAAAATGGTGTTTAGAGAAAAATGAAGACATTTGTAATCTTGTATCATATGACCTGTCAGCAGTTGGTATTTTCTATGTATCCTGCAGTATTAGATTTTCTGTGTAAATAAAGCTCCAAGTATTCCATAGAATTAGTCGAGGTGTCTATCAAGTTGACCCGGACATCATACCTTATTAGAGTTGGACTGGAACTCATCACTTTGGCTCCTCCACAGACCTTTAGGCAATAACTCACGTTATATTTTAAAAGAAACAATATTGTATATTTGTATACCAGAATGCAGTGTTAAAGATAAAGAATTTCCAGAATTTGAAGAATTCAGTTTACATCAACCTACTAAATACATTCTTCTTTTTAATTGCCCACCCGGTGTTGGTACCACTATGCGGTTCGACTGTTTTGGATTCACGTCGAGAAGTACCACTGTGGGGGTAAGATGCTTCCTATCTCATTTTCAAAATGATGAGCACAAAATTTACAGATTAATCAGATTCATTTCTGAAGTATGTACAATTGAGCTGTGTTTAATTTTCTGAAGTAGCAAGAACTAGATGATCTCCATCTCTTATCACTGCAATGTCCTCAATAAGTGCTCCATCTTCAGTTAGTACTTTCGCGAGAGAGATGCCATATTTCTCAGCACCGATATCAAGTAGCTCTTGAATGGAATCTGGCAAAAGCACAACCCTTCTACGCATATGAGCTTTCTCTAGACAACCGATGGTTATTCTGTCTGGAATTCTTGAATTGTCAATTTTAGGTGATGTTGTTTCTCCCGGAGTGGAGAGATGAATCGTGGGATCGCTCTGATATTTGGTAAGGAAGGGAGCACCAGGTGCCTCAGGAGGACAGACATTGGTTTCTTTACTAGTTGGTTGCATCAAGTTGAAAAGCTCCTTTATCTCTTTGTAGTCCTGATATTCAGCCAATGCTCTTGGTGTCCAACCGTGAACATCTGGTTTATCAACGTCAGTTGCTTGTTCCATCAGGAATTTAACTATTTCCACATTCTCCTCAGAAATAGTAGTGTGCATTGCTGTCGTGCCTAGGCTGTTAAGAAGGGTGACATCACCTCGATAATTGATGATCTCCTTAAGCAAGTCTAGTCTGCCTTGTTCCACTGCAAAGCAAGCAAACTGAGCTACGTCTCCTGAAGACATCGTTGCTCCATTGTCCACAAGCAATTTTATCGCAGCTTCATGCTTCCCCACCATTGCATCCCACAATGGAACATTTCCTTCAGAATCTATTCTATTTGGATCTGATCCAAAGTCGAGTAGTAGAAGAATACATTCAACACTTCCTTTTGAAGCTGCTAAATGCAAAACTGTACGTCCATTGCTATCAGATTCATTAGCATCCATACCCTTTTTTAGCAATTGGCTCAACAAAAGATCATCTCCTCTGTTTGCTGCAAAACATAAGCAAAGAGGCATGTCTATTACTCCTTGAGCCAGCATATGTTCTATATCTGCTAATACTGTTTTCATCATTGGGTCCGTTTGCTCTTTCCAATGCTGAAGGAGATTATTCATGATTATTGTCCCGTCTCCTATATTTTCTTTAATGATGTTGAAAAATGAAGTACGATCCAAGCGTAGCAGTTGGGATATTCTTTTGGTTCGAACATTAAAAAGTTGAGGCTTACAGCAATCCACAAAGATCCCCCGTCTTTAACTCGCCAACTACCTGATCCATTCCGTTCCTATGTGATATAAGTTCCACTGCTCCAGTAACCAGAATGTACAGATCTGTAGGTGCTTCATTTTGCAAAATGACATCCTCTTTTGGAGGGAAATACTCGGCCTTCATCTCAGAAACCAGTTGAAAAAGCAAGTCATTTGATACCCCGTGGAATAAGTAGGCCTTATCCACCAGTGGATAGAATAGATGATGTGAAATGGCAGATCGAATAGCTTTGGGTAGTGTTTCAAGAGTTCCTTGCTGCTGCAGACCTTCCGAATCTGTTCTGTGCATCATAGACAAGTGATCTAGCATCTGTTCTTCAAGTCGAACAGGCAGCTTATTCCTTTGTGCAAAGCTTGAGGCAGCTTGAATATCATCCCTAAATTTCTGTGTCTTACTGATTCCATGGACAACCAAGTTGGTCATGTTTCCAATAATATATGCAGTCAACCCGAGGTCGAATAGCATATACATCATGGTGAATATCATTTCCTCTGTAGCAACCGCGTGCAAATCCCCATATCCAGTTGTTGTAAGCGTTGTAATAGACCAATACATAGATATTACATAGAGATCCCAGATATTCCTTCTCCTACTCATATATATCATGCAAATTCCCTAGTGCAATCCATGTTTCCCTACTATCTTTTTTCCGCGCAGCAAGAAAGTAGTAGAAGCTGCCAGCAGAATGAACAGCAAAAAGAGTGACACATATAAGCTTGACTACTCTAACTCCAAAGTAACTGAACTTGATGTTTTTCTCCAATCTAGCAAACATAACACTAACTCTTCTAAGACGCCATAGACGAGACATACTCAAGTATCCATATGATTGAGGCAATGCTTTCAAAGGTATGGTGGATATCAAATCAAATATAAACCCGGATTTTACATACCTTAAAGCAATGCGCTTTGGGTCATCAATCATAGTGTAAGTTGATTTATCAAGATATGCAACAAAGAATAATGTGAGGAAAATGTCAATGCCAGAAAAGACATTTGTTATGTTATCTAAGATAGCAATAAGTCCTTGAGGTCTTTCTAGAAATCCAAACTGAAAAGGTGACGCCCATGCTGTGTAGAAAACAAGAAGCAGCAAAATTGCATCCCAAGCCCTGTAAACGGGATTAGAGGGAGAGATGATGTAACAACGGAGCTTAATTTTGCAAATACTATTGGCGCCAAGAGAAGGAAGAATGTCACTACTACCATAGTGAGAACTTTTATCGTCCATCAAATTAAAAAGCTAAAACCTTATACACCAAACTACTTTCCCAAATGCCCCCACCGGCCCTTCTCTATGAGTTTGGATTTTTCGCGTCGTTTCAGATATTTATTTATCTCTTTCTTATAGGCCAAACTTGAATGTATTTTGTTTGTGCAAGTTATATAGAATAAATAAAAAAGTCATTGTTCTTATTGAAAAAGGATTACCACAACTTTTTCCTATAGTTGGTTTTGGAAACTTTTCCTTTGTTAGTCCTTTTCTTTTCTTTTTTCTTCCGCTTGTGTATAAGTAAACTGAATTATCAACCAACACACGTATAATTAAAATAAAATATGATATACTTAAGAGAAAAAAAAATCCCTTCGTGCATAGTGATTTTGAAACTCTTAATATAGAGGTAATATGTATTTGAAATATTACCTTAAAAGGTTTGAAAAAATAGGTTTTTCTTTTTCAAAAAAATCCAAAGCATCTTTATTTAAAGGGTAAATCACCTAGGCATATTATATTAAGAAACTATTTACCATTTATGGCAATAGAATTTTCTTAACAAAATATAACATTTTTTTAGAATTAAAATAGTAGAGAAATGATCAAAATGGTCCTTAATGTACATGTGTTGCTTTATTTTGGTCCTTAATATATCACACATGATTGAAATGGTCCTAAATGTATTACAAAAAGTGTTCATTTTAGCCTTTCACCCTAAATCTAACAAAGATGTCAAAAGAAGGTGTTATTTTTAACGGCGAGTCCCACACGTAGCTAACAAACTATACCATTGTTATCTTCGTTGTTAGCTCTAAAGAAATAGCTCCATAGACAACACCATTTTCTCTACTTTCTCTAACAAAATTCATTATTTTCTCTTTTCATAAATATTATTTTAACTCCAAAGCAATTTTTAGCTATTAAATTACACTCCTTCTGATGTTATTGTCGATAGTTTATTCAAGCTTAAATTAAGATCTAAATGAGCCCAAAACAACAACTTGACGGAATCTAGTGCGAAAGCTTCCTTAATTGTTAATGATAATGTGATTTCTTACTTCAGTGAATCAAAATGACAGAATAATTTTTAATCACAAAAAATATATTGATAAAATTAAAATTTTACGGTCGAATCAGTAAACAGAAAA